GCTTTCTCGATCCCCCACGCCAATAGATTTTGCATCAATGGCGAAGCAAGATCGGTTCCCATGACAAGAGAGCAACTCGAGCTAAACAAGAGGTGTCTGGCAAGGCACGGGCAGCGAGAAGTGGCAACGATGGTGGAGGTAGCGGCTCACTCGAAGACTCATTGGAGAAGGACGAGAAGGAGGAGTGCACAACATCGTGGAGCCATGAGAGATGCGGATGAGTCATCTTCGACTTTCCAGGAGAAGCAAGGGAAGGCCACCATGATAAAAAAGGCGGGACACTCGAAGACGCGACGGAGAAAACCGCGAAGGAGTGCGCAACTTCATGGGAGCACAAGGCTCGAGAGCAAGCCACGGCCATCCTTGGTTTGGATGAAGGTGCAACGAGACCTTGCAAGCAATGAAGCTAAGGCAAGGGAGGCGTCTGCCAAAGAGCCACGATGAGGGTGTCGTGGATTGAGTGGAGGATAATGTCACCAACGAGGCTCAAGAGTCGAGGGAGGCTGGTCAAGGTCGATGGAGGCATTTAATAGTAAGGACGCGACGAGGGCGTCGCGAGAATAGGTGGGGGAGGATGTCACGCGTGGCGGGCGACATGGCGAATGATGTGGCGGATCATGACCAAGTCAAGCACGTGTGGCATTAAGGAAGACCTAGTAGCATAGGATGCTCCTAGGATTCCCCATCTTGAAGATGAGCTTAATGGTGCACATAAAGAGCCACATTATGAGGTGGTATAATGGTGTGCATTATGTGGGAAACTTAATGGGGTGTAGTAATGGGGATGAACCATTATGAGGGGCATTGATGCCTTGCATGAGGATAGGCCTATATAAGGAGCCATCTCCCTCACTTGTAACTCATCCATCATTTTTGTGAGCAATACAACTATAGAGTTTCTCCCATCTTCTTGTGTCTTCTTCTTGTGAGTTGAGTGAGTTTGAGAGCTTGTGAGAAGGATGCCTAGCATCTCTAACGGAATTGAGAGCTAGGGCCACACGACCAAGAGTAAGGCCGTGACAGAGCCGTATGTGTTGGAATCAGATTGCAAATCTATTATCACAAGTCTACAGCAGCAGTTAGAAGACTTAACCAAGACATGTACCATCTGCAGGTCAATTATGAAAGAGGTAGAAGCCAGAGATTGCAGAGCCTGGTAATAAACTCCAAGGGAAGCCAATATGGTGGCTCACAAGCTTGCCCACCTTTCTTGCATGATGATGAATGAATGTATCTGATGGACAAAAGATTTTCCTCCTGAGATCTTGGACATTGTAATGGTTGATTTGAGCCGTGTGGAAAATGAATAAAAGCAGGAAATGTACTTATCTAAGAAAAAAAAGGAGAAAGGAAGTTTGCCCGGAAAGCAGATTTGTCGGCGACGGATCTGTCTCCTAACACACTCTCTTTTCTTTTTTATTTAGTTTCCCTATTATCTTTAATTGACTCGTATTTTTTTTGTATCAAATCCCAATTGAAATATTTTTATATGGATTCATTAGATTTTATATAGTTTACACAACGATTCGATATGAATTTGAATTTTTTTTAAGCCATGATCACGTATTCACGTGTCACATACAATCACATATTCATGAGTCACATTCTTATATGACAAAGTTACTAAAACTACGCTAATATTATTAAGTTTTATAACAGTATAAATGACTGACTCATCTGCCACTATAACTCATTAGACACGTTCTTAGTCTACTGAGTTATTAAACAATATCAATATCTTTCAATTTTGTACCACCAGAATACACAACAATTTCATGTATGTCAAATACATTATCATTGGGTACAAATCAAGTTATCTTAACGAGAGAAAAATCATAGTCTGGTCTACTGACCGAGTTCAAATCTAGTTTACAATATAAGTTGCTTGTTAAAGGGTATCTATTTTACCGGACATATGTCCTCCATTCTCGGAAAGGATCCAAAGCCTCCTGAATTTGGTCCGACCAATAGAGGCTAAGGGGTATTTGTTGAAGGGGCTGATCAGGGTCATTGGGAACATAAAAAGAACGAAAATCTTTAAGGAGCCATGGATACCGTTATTTGACAGAGGGAAAATCTCCAACCAGAGGGATGATGACTCTGTTGTGGCAAATTAGATCAACCATGGCGGGGTCAAATAGAGGGAAGATCTTATGAAAAATATGATTGCTCAGTCTGATCTCCATGCGATTCTGAGCATCTCTATTGGTCTGGAAGATGCCTACGATTTTTGGTCATGGAGACACACTATGAACAGAAACTTCAAGCAGATTTAGCTAAGTTGATCCTTTGACCACTTAATCCCTCATAAACATTAAGGACCTCAATCAGATTCTCGCATTCCTACACCGACCCTCTAAGGAATAAGTAAGAACCGTCTGCGAAGAACATATGAGAAATATGTGGGGCCTTGGGGGAAACCTTAACCCTAGATAGCTTCCCTTCCTCAATGCTTTTCGAATGAGAGCCGCAAATCCCTCCGTGCAAATGACAAACAACAGGGGAGATAAAGGGTCACCTTGTCAAGTCCCCTCGTTGATTGGAAAAACTCAGACAGGGTGCCATTCATAAGGATCGAGAAAGACGATGATGTCAAGCATTCCTTGATCCACCTAATTCATTTCGGATCGAAACCTAATTTTTCTAAAACCGCGAGTTGGAAGTGCCACTTGACTCTATTATAGGCTTTCTCCATATAAACCTTTATAGCCATGTAGCCCTTCTTGCCCTTATTTTTAATATTTTGGTAATGCATCAATTCGTGTCCAAGCAAGATGTTATCGACAATTTGTCATTCCCGAATGAAAGCATTTTGCCCCGACGAAATAATCTGAGGGAGGAATTGGGCCAAGCGTTCAGACATGATTTTGGCAATGATCTTATACACGAATTGGCATAAAACTTATGGGCTTCAAATGTCTTATATTCTCCACATTGTCCACTTTGGGAATTAAATCCAGCCAAGTGTGATTGAAGTTTCGCAACATTCGCTCCGTTCTAAAGAAGGAGCAAACAACATCAACCAATGACTCTCCAACAATACCCTAAAATGATCGGAAGAATTTACCAGTGAATCCGTCTGATCCAGGTGCTTGTGTGGATCCAATCAAAAAGATAATTTGCCGAATTTCAAGAGGCCGGAGTTTAGCCGTCAATACCTCATTCATAGCATTCGTTACTAGCCTATCAATCGGGAGGTCAGCCACACATGCAACCATATTCGCCACTTGATTCTCAGAGGTAACAGAGTCTAAAAAAATTAATAACAATGTTTGCCTTCCCTTTTTCCTCCTTTATCCAGTCCCCATTATCATCATATAAACCTGCCACGAAATTCCACTTTCTCCTCGCCTTTATGATTGTGTGAAAGTATGATGCATTACAATCACCTTTATTGACCCAACTTACCCTAAATTTCTGCTGCTAGTAAATTTCTGTCTCCAGGTCTCATAACGTACCCTAGTTGATGGGGTGGACCTGTGTTATCCGATCTGTCTTTGCCGGAGGGTTTTGATATTCCGCAAGGAGTTCATTGTGCCTGCCTTACTCTAGTCATACAAGAGGTGGGGTAGGCGTTGGAGGCGCACCGAGAGCCTGTTCATTGGGGACCCATGAATTGGTTCATTCCACACGTTAGTTACCATTGCTCGTACCTCAGGATTATATGCCCAACGAGCATCTATCAGAAGAGCGGACGACTATTACGAGTGTAGGTTTATCTGACAATAACAAGGCTCGATGGTTACATCCCCGATCCATGAAATACTTCACTAAAGTGTCTGCGAATTTAATCGACCCAAGACTGAGAACAAAGAGCTCGATCTAGTCTCTCACAGATGCAAGGCTGACCCATCCACTTCTTAGTGTAACTAATTTGATCACCCTGGTAACCTGGGTCGCGGAGACCCAAATTCTGCACAAAGTCCCTTAGAGTTATTGATCGAGCAAGGTTCCAACGATTCCCACCTTCCTTATCACTCTTCGCCCACCTTCCCTGGTCGTTTATCCATTATAGTTAGATGAGTTGACGATTTTCCATGGCTCATGCGCTAAGGAGCCGCGTGGACGTAGTAATGTGCTCTCGACAAAGCATTTTTTACGTCGTTGGATGGGGATGTGGTAAGATTTTGATTCTTGTCGGTATCTGATCAATGGTGGGTGCTTAAGTGTATTGTAAAATCAGTTGCAGAAGAGCAAGGCTTGGTGAACGAGGACAGGCGGGCGCACTCACGCAAGTCGCAGGCCTAGATAGGGCTGCAAATGAGCTGCTCGAGAGCAGCTCTGCGTTCGACTTGGGAAAAACTCGTTCGAAACTCGACTCATTTACTAACGAGCCGAGCTTGAGTTAAGCCTTATGTAGCTTGCGAGCTATATCGACTCGGTGGCTTGTCGAGCTCAACTCGTGAGCTAGATCGTTTAGAGCTCATGATATGTCTCAACTCTCAACATTGTGGCTAGAGAGCCAACTCAATTATCGACTTATGAACGAATCGATCTATATGAGCTTGTTTTTTTTTTATAATTGATAGGATTTTTAAATTATACATCTGACCCTATATGAAGTTATCCACGTAGATTATGTGAGTAAATATGTCTTATTTAATTTTAAAAAGAAATTATGTATCATAAATTGCTTCGATACTATGAAATAACATAATTTTGACTAGTTAAAATTTATTAACTAAACAATACGATACCACAAAGTATAACATGAGATTAGTTAATATGAACAATTAATTATTATTATTATTATTATTTTCATCTTGACATTAATCACATGTATCATACATGACATACAAAATGAATATATAAAATACGAGTCAAAATTTTAGTAACCAAACTAGCTCGAACTCGACTAGACTTGTTAATAAACGATTTGAGCTCGAATTCAGTTTGTTTATTAACAAGCCGAACTCAAACCGGGTAAAACTTGGTTAATTTGCAGCCCTAGAGCCTAGACCCAGGGCCTGGCTGCTGGCTGCTACAATCGCTGGAATCGGAAAAAAAAGGGGCCCGAATAGTTTCTTTTGTTGCGTTGTCCGAAGGGGCAAAATTTTATTTGCAAATCCCCAGGAGGAGAGCCTCTCTGTTTCAGGTCGCGAAGGGGAAACTGGCCGGCGGGTGGTTGCAGCGACGGTGCCGACTCTGTTTTTCCACCTGGTCACCTTCTCGTTCGCCTCTTCTTCCCCCCTCCGCACTCTCTACTTGCTCTTTCCCTTTTGTGGTGATAAGTAGCTAGCAGGATTGAAGATGTGTATTTTGAGTTTATTAGCTGCTTCTGCCTGTTATCTATTAACTAATTTCACTAGGTTTTATTGCCAAAGAGTAGGAAGAAACTACGAAAAAAGTTATATTTTCTTGCTGGGTTGTGCTGATGAACATCTGTTTTTAGAGCTCAATAATACTTCGGACTGCTCTTGGCTGTTATGGGTTTGTTTGGTGGGCTGCTGCTGCTCTTAACTTAAGAATTAAGAATTTTGTAAGTACTGGTCTATCGATTGAAGAAGCTGTAGATAACTGGACATTCGTATGATATCTTGCTCGCTGCTTGCTAGTGGGGATTGTGTTGTAGTATGGACTTCTCTTTCGGCAAGCAGACGCGGGCTTTTCGTTTTGTGTTTCTTAGAGGCTGTCTATGGCGTTGTTGGCTTTATTTGTTAGCTTGCTTCAATGGTGCGTGGAAAGTCTCAGAGCAATCGTTTGATTTTCCCCCCTTGTTGCTGAATGTTTACGGATTCATTACTAGGACAGTAAGGAGGTAATGATGGCGATGGGGTATGATGTGGGATTGTTTGAAAACATTAAGTAGTTTGTTATATGCATAGTAAGTATGTGTACAGTGTGTAGCACAGTTCCCATGTCTTTGTGGCGACTGTATCCTCTGTCTGTCTGTTTCTTTTTCTCTAGCTGCCCCATCTAGATTTCTGTCCACTGAAGTGATTTAGAATGTAGTAAAGTATTTAAATTTGCTTGTTTTATCATCTTTATTCTTCAGTTGTTAGCATTAACCCTCTTCTTGCTTTGGTTCTTTGAACAAAGAAGTACTAATCATAAGCGCAATGTTAATTATGCAGGAGTTGATTCGTACTTGTATACAAGCTAGTATAATAGCAGGATGAGCGGTGACTTGTTTGATAGACAGGTACTATCAGACAAGTTGGCAAAGCTGAACAGTTCTCAACAAAGCATCGAGTGTATCCTTATCCAATATTACCTGATATTAACTATAGCTTTCTTAGTGTTAGGTTTGTTCGCTTGAAATCTCAATTTGCAAACATAACCTTGTTCTAAGTATTTTATTTTCATAATAAATTTTGAAATTAGAGAAGAATTAGTTTGTTCCAAAATTTCATTGTGGACTTCATTCAAAGTACATGCGGTTGCTACAGTAATTTCATTTGGCAAGAATTGAATAATGTATGCTAATTATTTTCTGTCATTAAGATTGTAGTCCAATCTACAATTGAGACAATTAAGACATTTTATAAGGTATAAGTTTTAGCTTGTGCTACAGAAAAACAGCTTCTAAATAATTAGATGTTTACGGTGAATAGTTATTTCAAGACTTTAGATTGAAGAATTCCGTTGGTTTGAGCTATGCAGTTCACTTTTTCTTAGCTGAAATAAAGACACCGTACATCTCTCAGCTCTAGAACACTTGCACTCATTGATGTGTGCGTTTTGTGACATGGGCCATAGGTCAGATGTTCGAGTGCTTGTACATAATCTTTTCCCGGATAACAGAGGATTTGTGTATTTTTACTGCTTCACTTTTTGATTTTTAGGTTCTCCCTTCTGATTCTTTTCTTAACAGATCACCCATAGTCAGATATACACCCATAATGTTTTTGCATGCCTGATAACAAATAAATTCAATATAGTCTAAGAGGGTGAAGTCCCTACACCCTTGGAGGGTTTCTGTAGCAGCAGTTTTTGAGGGTGTGAAAATCGTAGCCTGCTTCACTAGATTAGTCATGTAGAAGAATCTCAATATCTTTTTGGTGCTCAGGTCACTGGAAAGCAGCATGGCCTGGCCATGGTGAACTGGGTGATGATATGTTTATCATCTTTTGAGATTTAGGTGGATACGATATGGTTTTCTGTAGCTGTATTCTTCTCCCATCATTATCTCTGGCCATGCTGGGTGATGATATGTTTATCATCTGTTGAGATCTAGGTCGGTACAATATGGTTTCTGTAGCCGTATTCACAGTAATATGTTGCCAAGTATATGGTTTCTCCCATCCGTATCTAAAATAATATCACCTGTTCACAGTAATATGTTGCTTTAACAGTTAGATTAGCATTGTCACGCTGGTGTATATCACACCGGAAAAAGGCAAGACAAGTGGTTGAAACATGGAATCAGTACTTCACCTCATCGCAGAGAGAGCAGCGTGTCACATTCTTATACTTGGCAAATGACATCATACAAAACAGTAAGCGCAAGGGCAGTGAATTTGTTAATGAGTTCTGGAAAGTTCTTCCTAAAGAACTCAAAATTGTCTATGAAAGCGGAGATGAGCAGTCAAAGAAAGCAGTTGCCAGACTGGTGAGTTATTATTAATTGAGTTTTGCTTCTTTTGTGGCTATTGTCCTTACACTTTGGCGAATGAGTCGAAATTGATTAATTTCTTCACTTTTCTGAGATTTTTTGTGTATGTAACTATGGCTTCTTGCGTCCTACTCCTATATGTTGATGGTGGGCGATTGTGCAGTTGGGATAATCATTATGCATGACGTTAGGTATATGTCTTCTCGTCTTTTGGTTGCTTTCATTTGTTCGTTGAACTAGTTGAGGGTTTAAAGTATGATATTCTGAAATAATGCAATGGCTAACGAAAGTACAAGTACTCTGTGGTGCACTATACTGGGTTGTTTGAATTTCTGCCTTGCTCTCTGTGGCTGGGAACCACCTCTCTATTTTATCTCCGTGGTACCTCTTCACTTCAGTGTGCTCTATGGTGCCAATGCTATGAATCTGAATCCGTTCTTGTAAATGCTGTGCCTTGTTCTTTCTGTCCACCAGATTAAAGCTTTTGTAGAATGGAAGTTATTGATATATATGGGTCTTTGTGTTCCTTTTTTTATTTCTTTAAGTTATGTTTCCGATTTCTGAAGCCTATCTGGAATTTATAATGGAACCACCGAAGCATTCGATTGTACATCCATGTGGTTCAAACAATATGAAATTTCCAGATTCAAATTTTTGTGTCCTATTCTTGCAAAGTTATTTTATTTTGGCACCTTTTAGATCCTATTTATTTTATATTTTGTTGCCATCTTTTGTTTCAGGTTGCCATTTGGGAAGAAAGGAAGGTGTTTGGTTCCCGTGCCCTGAATCTAAAGGATGAAATGCTTGGTAAAGTTCCTCTGCCTCCAGTAGTGAGCAATGGAAAGAGCTCAAACCAGATCTCGAACCAGATATCAAACCCTATCAAGATAGTGAAAAGGGATGCCAGCTCGTTAAGAATTGTGAGCATTTCCGTCTAAGTTTTAACTGTCGTGTAAATAATTACTGCTACCTATCATAAGTCTTGTTGAAATTGCGTGGTTGGTTTTCATCCTTTTTGGTATCTTGAAATCAGAAACTGATGGTGGGATGTATTCCGGAGAAGATATTGACTGCATTTCAATCTGTTCTTGATGAAAATCAAACCGAGGAAGCTGCAATGGATAAGAGTAGTGCTGCCGTGTCTCATTTGGGTAAAATCAGAGAAGACATAGAAAGTACATCAATTGCAGGTAGGCAGTCCCCTTCAGATACTTATAGAGTTGGGATTTAACAGCTTCTGATTCTACAGGTTCGTGAACGTAGTCTGTGCTTGACGTCACCTCTTGTCGCTGTACAAAAATAATTGTACTTATTTGAATGATTGAGTTTTCTTGAGTAGTTTGATCATAATGTCATTGCTACAGAGAATAGCAGCCATGCAATGGGATCTTTCTATCTATTTACTGATTAGCTGATAGTTGTACCCCCAAACGGTATATTTTAAATGAATTTTGTTCAAGTATAGATTGAAGATATTGCATCATTCCCATTCGGAAAGTTTTGTGGGCTTAGTGAGGGTAGATAACATGTTATTACTTACCTCCTTCATAAGGTCCAAGTTTGTTTTATGAGTTATTACTTACCTCCTAGTAGGATGCATTTGGATACGAGGATTTGGTGTTTGGAATTTGGAATTCCGAGTTCTAAATCATTTGTTCGGATACTAAATTATTTGGATTTTTGTATTAGTGAGTTTTTTTCTTACTTCCAAGTGCCTTTTTCCCCTGGTGGACTGGAAATTCATGTTTCTGTCAATTTTGGACTCAAGGGAAATAAGCTATTGCTGCCTCCTAGCACTATTTACATTTACTCACTGCATTGTCTTCAGGGGAATAATTGACCATGTTTGTCGATATTGAACCTTTGTCTATTCACGGCCTCTTCAGGAAATCAGCCTGGTCCTGCACTGGTGGATGAGCTACAGGCGCAGGAAAATGTCCTTCAGCAGTGTGCTGGCCAGCTTGAAACTGCTGAAAAATTACATACGATGTTGATTACACAGCTTAAAGAAGCACTTAAAGAACAAGTAAGTTCGTATGAATGTCAAGTTTAAGTCTTCATAAACGTTGTGGTATGAATTTCAATTTAAGTTACCTTGCTCATTTCAGGAGTCAAAGCTTGACATCGTTCAGTCTCAGTTACAAGTAAGAATTCCTGTATTTAACCCATAAATCAATGTCAACTCACATAGTCCCCTCCTCTTTTGAATGTCTACCAGTACATAGTAAATTCTAGCTAAGGAGAGTGTTATTATTATTATTTTAAACTCTCACCTAATAATTTAATTCCAATGGTCATTCACAAATTCACTTCCATCCGTAGGAATCAGGATTACATAAGTTGAAACTACGCTGCTGTATTGTTAGCTATAGTAAGAAAGAAAAGCTAAGTGAGTGATCCCTGAAAGTTGAATTCCCTCTATATCCTGATAAAGAGAATCATGGCATTTTCTGCTCCCGTTGGCATTCACATAAGATCATGACTCTTGTGTATCCAAGAGCTTGATATATTGTTTTGAACCATGTTTAAGCTAGCCCATTAAGACTTGACCTGGCATGTTGACAACTGATGTGCACATAGAATGCAGTAGAATTTGTTTAAAAGCTTGGAAGTCTAAAGTAACAGCTGTTAGGGGAGCTACTGCAAGACTCAGGTTGGAGAACTTTCACGAGTTATAGCAAGAGATTCCTGTATAAGTTTTGTGATGATCTCGTTGTTAATTTGCTTTTGAAGCTTTGTTAAAACAAAACATGCATGCAACTAGATTCTGGTTTAATCAGATATCTGCTAATAAGTTTTCCCTCTGCTGTTTAGTTATAACGTGCATTTTTTTCTATCCTTTATCTACATTCTTAGGTGCATGTTGTAATGCTTGACGTGAGGCCTTCAACCTTCACGACATCTTGTAGTGCTTTCTCTAATAAGTCTCCATCCTATTTTTTTTGCTCAACCCTGGTGCCGAGCATGGGTGATACCACTGTAAGAAGTAAGAACTATGAATCTAGGCGTCTCCATCTGAAGTTCCACAGTTGTAAACAAATGTTGAATTAAGGATTGAAAAAGTTTATTTATAAGGGGTTGAAATAGATTAGAAAGATATAATTTAGAGGAAGTATTTGGGAAGATCAAGAGAGAGAAAGAGAGGGGAAACGACGAGGAGGAGATGTGAAGGTTAGGGGGTTCAACTGAAGCTAGATAGAGAGGGAAGTAGGGATGACAATTGAACACGAACTCTCGAGTACCCAACTTGACTCAACTCGGTCAAAGCGGGTATAAGTCAGTGTCGACGGGTTTTGGGTCAGGTGTGGATTCTACCCATTTTTTAAATTTGCGGGCTTGGGTTTTACCATAACCCAACCCGCTTTCCATTTGACCTGCACCCAAAAAGTATAACGACGTTATTTTGTATATAACATTAACAATATCGATAATATATAGATATTATTTGTCTTTATGTCTATTATAAACCTAATAATATAAAATATGGATATTACGTGGGTGTTATTAGTCTTTGTAGGGATGTATTTGTAGAATTTTTTTTCGAGAATATTAGAATATGAGTGTTCAGAAAAATAATGTATAGTTATGGATGGTTGTAAACCCATGCATGGGTACCCGTTAGGTTGGGTTGTATTTGCTCTTCTAAAACACATTAGGTATTTTACCAGATTTTTTAATGGGTGCACTCGCTAAGTTGAATGTGGGCTTAGAACAACTCAACCTAATCCCACTCATTGCCATCCCTAGAGGAAAGAGAGAATTAGAATTGGACTATTATGTTCTGTATTGTATTTGCTTAATGAGAAAGTCTCTACAATTACAAGATATAAAATCCTACTAATTCACTCTAACGATCCATAATTTAGCACCATAACAGAAATACTCAAATAACTCTAAAAAAGTCGCAAAACATAATAAAATTAATAAATTGGTTCAAATAGTAAATTAAAACAAACTTAATGTTTCTATTGGTTTTTCAAATCCGTTGGGACATGGATTTGGTGCCATCTAATCCAACATTCAAACTGCCTCTTTATGTTCACTATCTACCGATTGCATTCTACTATACCAACGACATTTTTGCCCAGCTGCTACTTTATCACGCTCTATAGTGCATGGTTGAGGCTGATATGCTTTTCTGTACAGGTTGTAAGAGGTCACATCGAACAATCTAGCAATCTAAGGAAGAGGTTAACTACTGCATTTGTCCCCGGCCCATCATCTACAACCACCCCCTCAGCGTCAGATGGCACAAGAGTTGCTGTCGAGCACATTTCTTCTTCACCAGGACAGCCAACAACAACAAGCACTCTGCCTCTACCTCAGCCTAATTCACTCTCACAGCCTGCAGCAACGGTTTCCTGTGCTGCACCTCTCCAACCTCCGGCTGCTGCTGACGACGAAAGCAAGAAAGCAGCTGCCGCAGCTGTTGCTGCTAAACTCTCCGCCTCCTCATCATCAGCACAAATGCTTACATCGGTCCTCTCATCCCTTGTTGCTGAAGAATTGAATGGTAATTCCTTTAAGTCTTCAGGATTTGCCGACCTTTTCCCTCCAGAGAAGCGGCCTAGACTAGAGCAACAGACTTCTGAGACCAATTCAAACAACAGTATGGCGGCCTTTTCATTTGGTACTTCGCAGCCACCATTGCCACCACCTCCACCTCCAATGTCTCAAACTAGCACGCCGGCAAACCAATACATGCAGCAACCTGGTTGTATGATGGCTGCTAGCGTGATGCCGCCTTATGGGTATGGAACTAGCAGCAACTTTCCTCCACCTCCCATGCCTCCTCCAAATTTTGGGTTAAGCAGCATGCCGTGGCAGCCTACCTCACAGCAGCAATTGCAGCCTCCGGAGCAGCAGCAGACACAGACAACAAGTGGAGGGTACTATAGGCCACTGGGGATAGGGGGTTTCAATGGGCAAATGCATCAGGCAACTACTACACCTCCTGTACCGAGGCAGTAAGCTTATCGAACAGGGTCATTAAAGAGAGAAGACCGGCAGAAGTAATGAAGTGGGGAAAACCTCTGCAAAGCCATTTAGTACCAGAAGATAGTAATTTGACCATATTCTGTGTATAAATGTCGTTTAAAGTAATAGGACCCACTTTGATGTCCACCTTTGAGCAGAATTTGCTGTGGGTGGTGGGGTCGTTAATGGTCATGGGATTATGCAAATTTTCCCACATAGTCGTGACTGGCCTAATTTAACTCCAGTTCTTGCACTATATATGTTAGATGCCGTGTCTTGGGAATGCTTCCTCCGCTGTTTAGTTTACAAATTCGCAGTAGCTGCTTAGAAGGATGGATGGGGCGATGCTGTGTTGTCTTTTAGATTGTCCCAGGAGAATATAAACAGATTTAACATGTTTTATTTCTGGGTTGATTTTGGTATTAAGGGATTTCCTTGACGGCAGGTGGGAGAGCAATTGAACTTGGTCGGTACATTTTCTTCACTAGGGATGTGAACTGTGAAGAAAAGATTACGAGTTAACTATTCATGCATTGCATGATGTCACCGTTCTGGATGGTCCTGTAATTTCTTCTTGATTTTAGCAATGAAAGTGTGGTGAAGACATTATCAGGACTATTGAGATAATGGATTTGGTTGCGAGGATTAATGACCCATAGTGTGAGTTGCTCCCCTGTGTTTTTTTTTGTCGGTCCAACTATCTTTTGACAAAACTCTTCATTCTAGTTTAGAAAGTTCTAGGCTCGGGTTTGGCGATTTGTAGTTTAGACTTGCCACTTTCCCTTTTTATTTAGGCGGGCTTGGGGTTTATGCTATTAAAGATGTTCTGCATTATGCTGGTGTCTCGTTTGCAGTCTACGGAGTTGCTAGCTCCTTTTAGTATACTATCTCCTGGCCCTGCTTTTGATGACGCCCTAGGCACCTTTAATGAGTTTACATATTCTGATATCTTACGTGACTCTTGTGGAGTTGCTGTCCCAAAACTTACAAAGAAAATGACGCATATACTTTGTGAAGGTTGCTACTATTTCAGATTCTGTTTTCTTGTTCACTACGCGTCAGGTGGCCTTGTGGAAGTCCCAGCAAAGTGCACACTCTTCTGGTTGGTTGCACGATGTTCTTATTGCTGGGTTGGGGCAGTCTATGAATGGGAGAACAAATCATAGTGTGCTTAGTTGGTAGTCTCAGCAAAGTCCCGTATATTTCATGGCGATGTCTTAGGAGATCATGTTGTGTCCTTTGTTGGTACTGTGAAGCATTAAGCATCGAAAGAAACTCATTTGTGACACCGTACTGGACATCTGTTACATGTCTGGGATATCTGATGGTAGGGAGGTTGATATCGGTTTGGTTGATGAGCATGGTGGACCCCTTCGTCTGTGGGTTTGCTTCTTTATTCTTGGGACATTGGGGGGATGTGTGTGTCGATATGACTGGATCTTCGCCTTTGACTTAGACTGGGATAACTGGTTCCATGGCAGCTTTTTTTTTTTTTGAATATAAACTTCATTTCATTCAAACCCCTGAAACGGGAAGGAGGTTACAGCAAAGGAGAGATAATACAAAGAACAGTGATCCAATCAGTAGGGAGAGAATTCAGTCGACAATTGCCGGCGACCCAGTCCGCCTTCGTTTTAAACTTTCGATTAGTGAACTTCACCCTAATCCAATCTGAATCACGAAGAATCTTTGTAATCTTTGCAAGGTGAGCATAGCATCTCCACGGCCAAAGAGATGGATCCAACACCAAGGCATCTACAAGGGACTTACAATCCGAAAAGACCTCCGTTGGTGTACGATCCAAGGCAGCCATCTGACATGCCTCAAACATCGCATGCGCCTCCGACTCAATAGGAGTAGAACAAATGACCCTACCAGCCCGCCCATCACTTATCTGTCCGAAGGGATCAGTAATAACTACCCCGAAAGCCGCCTCCTGGGAGTCACTGTCAAATGACCCATCACAGTGAATCCTACGAGTAGGAAAACTTGGCGGTGGATGAGATTGTAATGGAACGTCTCTAGGCTGATGAAGGGAAGAAACATTGTGATGTCGCCGAGCAAAGGCAGGCTCCGCCGCTTCTCTGAAAGCCCGGATCGAGGTCATCACGGGGGACACCGGTACTCCTCTAAAGATGAATTCGTTACGGGCCTTCCAGACATTCCAAAGGCAGAAAGCCTTTTGCCGAATGCTCGAGACATCTTCAACATCACGCAAGGCAAAGAACCAATGGCAAAAGTTCAGGGGAGGACTGACCGACGGCTGAACCCGAGCCCACGTCTCAGCTGCATGGGGACAGAGAAACAAACAATGAATAAGACTCTCCACTGGTGCATTGCAAAGCTGGCAGCTCGAGCTCGGTGCACAACGTCGATGATGGAGATTTTCCCTCGTTGCAATTGCCTTCCTAAGACATCTCCAAAGGAAAAATCGAATTTTTGGTGGGAGCTCCAGTGCCCATAACCACTTCCAACAGTCATCCGAGCTAGGAGTGTTAAGATCCTGAATCTGCATAGGTTGACTCTGTCGAAGTTGTTCCCTGCATCCATGATAAGCCGCTTAACTGAAAACTCCCCTGTAGTGGTAAATTTCCATGCCCATTTGTCTTTGGTATCCGCTGGACCAATTTGGATATGGGAGATAGCATCCGCCTCAGAGGTTGAGCAATGGTTGTGAATGAGGCTCCAATTCCACTCCCGAGGCTGCTCGGTCATCCAATCACACACTTTTGAGGGAGGTACTGAAGGGGACAAAATCTTGTGACCTTGTAACATTGGGAGCCAAGGGTCCTTGTGAAAACATGAGTCCTCCCCCGAACCAATAATCCTAATTGTTCCAATATCCAAGGCCTTCTTTGCGTCACAAATGCTGGACCAAATCCATGATGGAGCACTTCCTTTTCGCGACGATCGAAAGTCCGAGTTTGGGAAATAGAGACCTTGAAGAAGACGAGCCCACAGCGTGCCAGGATCATTCATCAATCTCCAACCCTGTTTGGCAACAAGAGCAAGATTAAAAAGTCGAAAATCTTTGAACCCGAGACCACCAACAGATTTAGGGTCAGTGAGCACTTCCCCTTTTCTCCAAGGAATAGATCTCTTCTTCATCGATCCTGACCAGAAGAAATTGCGAAGAATGGAGTCCATTTTCTTTGTCAGCGAAATCGGGAGAAGGAAAACGCTCATGATGAACGTAGGAATCGCTTGGATAATGGACTTAAGGAGAGTTTCTTTCCCTCCATGGGAAAGAGAATGACTCTTCCAAGATTCCCCCTTCTTCTCCATTCTTTCAATGAGAAAGCTGAAGGTCTGCTTCTTTGAACGACCCCAATCAGTTGGAACCCCTAAATATTTGTCATGATTAATGAGGGGAGGAAAACCAAAACGGAAGGTGATAAGATTTCGCATTCCTTCTGGTGTATTCTTGCTGAAGAACACCGATGATTTGTCCATATTAACTTCTTGCCCGGTGAGAAAGCTGTAGTCATTGATAATGTGCAAAATAGCTTCTGCCTCCTCCACACATGCCTTCCCAAAGATGACAGTATCATCTGCAAACAAACAATGTGAGAGTCGAGGACATTGAGGTTTGAGCTTGAGTCCTTTGATACTACCTCGGGAGATCCCTTTATCAAGTAAGAAAGAGAGAGCATTAGACAACAAGATGAAAAGAAAGGGTGAAAGCGGATCTCCCTGTCTGATGCCCCTCGAAGGAGTGAATGGATCCGAAGGTCCCCCGTTGATGAGAATGGAGAACCGCACAGTTCGAACACACTCCTTAACCCAATTACACCAAGTCGTATTGAAGCCATAAGCACCAAGGAGAGCATCCAAGCAATCCCAATCAACAAGATCATAGGCCTTGCGCATGTCCATCTTGAGCATCATATCACATTTGTTGCCCTGTTTCCGATTCTTGAAATGATGGAGAACTTCATGGACAATAATAATATTATCCTGAATCATCCTTCCTCCGGTAAAAGCAGCTTGCATTTCAGAAACAAGGTCTGGAATAAAATTCTTCAGTCTGCTCGCCATTATCTTAGAGATGACCTTGTACTGGAAATTGCAGCAACTAATAGGTCGGAATTGACCGATCACCTCAGGGGAATGGGTCTTTGGAATCAAGGCAATGTGAGTGTCATTCCATCCCGATGGCATTGTGGTTGAATTGAAGAAAGAGATAACTTCATCACAAAGATCTTCACCAACAATATCCCAGAATCTTGTAAAAAAGAATCCATTCAGACCATCAGGACCCGGAGACTTATGGGGACCCAGTGAAAATGCAGCCCTTTTAACTTCCTCTCGAGTCACCTGTTGGCTAAGCATTTCATTCATTTCGTTTGTAACCAGGCAGGGAAAATCTTGAAGCAACTCCGGGTTAAACCCTGTTGGCCTTGCCGAGAAAAGGTTCTGAAAGAAGTCCTTAATATGGGTTTTAAGATGAGCTGGCTGCTTGATCCATCTGCCATTCAGATCTTTAAGCCCCACAATACGGTTATGATGGCGTCGGAAAACAGCAGAGTTGTGGAAGAATTTCGTATTTTGGTCTCCTTCCGCCAGCCATTGGACTCTCGATCTTTGCCTCCACATTCTTTCTTCGTCCCTCCACAGTGAGTCTAACTCTTGCAGAAGAAACTTCTATTCTCCAACCACCTCGTCCGATCGAAAAAAATGAGCAATCTCCTCAAGTCTACGCTTGATCTCTATCTCTCTTTGATGTAGGACTTGTTGCATATTCTTGGCCCACGCCTTAAGGTCCTCTTGACATTTATTAACTCTTGAATCATGAGAACCTTGAGAAGCCCAAGCAGCCATGACAATTTGATCACACCCCTCCTTACTCGCCCAACGATCATCAAATCGGAAAGGGGGGGGGGGGATTTCGGGATGCCATCGAATGAAACTCGAGCCTTAAAGCTCTATGATCTGAACCAATATCATTTTCATGAAAGATGGCTCCCTCCTCAAAGAGTTCTCTCCAAGCTGGGGTACATAATCCCCTATCCAATCTGCTCTTAATATTCCGCTCCCCCGTTCTCTTATTTGTCCAAGTATAGTGGGGGCCTTTGAAACCCATATCAATGAGCCCATTATCGAAAATGAATTTCTTGAATGGCTCCACTGATTCTCCCCGCAAAGGACCCCCTCCACACTTTTCATACTCGAACAGATTAGCATTTAAGTCACCAATTACAACCCAAGGAACTTCTACATCAGTTCTAAAACTAGAGACCAACTCCCAGAATGCCCTCCTTGCACTAGCTACAGAGGGGGCATGGGTAAAAGTAATAAAGAAACCACTACCATAGTTGACAAATACATCGATAAAATTAACTCCGCTATCCAAAACTTGCAAAGATAACCCAGCTGTCCACCAAAGTGCGAGTCCACCCGCCGAACCATCTGGGTTAACATAATGCTTATTCTGAAAATTGTTTTGGATCCTTCTTTCTTCCATGAAGCTTTCATCATTCTTTGTTTCCATCAAGAAAACCAAAGAAGGGCGAAATTTTCGAACCATCTTTCTCAGATTGTTCTCTGTCCGAGTTTGCCCAAGACCTCGACAGTTCCAACTTAAGCAACTCATTCATCAATTGGTGGCTTATTGCTGGCCACCTGCGCTTCAGAAATAATCCCTTCCTGCTGGTTTAGAAGAGTTTGCTGCTGTAACTTCA